TGTAATGGTTAATAAGCAGCAGGAGCAGAGGAAGCCCAGAGCGGCTGAAGCAGAAGCAGGGAGATCTATGCATTGCAGGTTGTCAGGTACAGCTTCCCCTCCAGGAAGGAGAACAGTGAGCAACACAGCAGGGACATTCCCAAATCTCACCCCAAATCTGCTGAGACTAGCAGTGGGAGGCAGCATTGCTTTAAGTGATCTCACGCTGCAGATATACAGCTACGAGGATACAGAACAGGAGTGCCTAGGCACAGAAGGTACACTGCTACTTTAAGACAAACATTTTTTTTACAGGCTTGGGGGGAATCAACATTTCTAGATGCTCCAAAAAATAGTGTGTTCAGGTTCGCTATAACCCTTTCGCTGCCGCCGACATATGCAATACGTAGGGTTTCACGGGTGCATGCAATTTTGGAGCTTGACCTGTCAGGTGTCTATATACTCGGCTCATGCTTGTTACTCACTGGAGGCTGGCCAGCAGGTGGGGCATTGGCCACCAGCAACGGCTGGCACTAGGCTGTTTTTTTTGTGTTCGGTGCCCGGCGTCCTCTCCTGCAGATGGCGCTATAACCCTGTGGTTGCAGATCTTCGATCTTCTTCGCTGTGTCCTTCAACGAACACAAAGGAAAGGATTTTACGGCGGGTACAAAAGAGATCGAAGATCTGGAACCTCAGTGAGGTGGCAAAGCCGTACAAAATGGAGGGGTGGACCCAAGAAAAAAGAATCGCCCCCAAACAAACTGTCTAAAGAAAAGACAGGAAACCACCACAGGAAGCAGAGTAATGATTCAGATATCCTAACTTATGATGCTCGGCAAAAGAACTGGTGGCTGGCCAGTAGGTGGTGTGTTGGCCATCAGCCTTAGGCTGTTTTTGCCTAGTGTCCTTCTCCTGCAGGTGGCGCTATAACCCGGTGGTTTCAATTCTTCGATCTTCAGTGTCCTTTAATGAACACAGAGGAAAGCATTTTATGTTGGAGTACAAAAATCCCATTTTCTTTTCCATTCAATGAAGCACACAGCGAAGAAATCGAAGATCTGGAACCACAGGGATGTCGCAAAGCTGTACAAAATGAGGGGTGGGCCCAAGACAAAACACTGTCTAAAGAAAAGACCGGAAACCATGAAAGGAAGCAGAGTAACGATTCCTAGGTCCTAACTCCTGACGCTAGGCAAAAAACTGGAGGCTGGACACTAGGTGAGGCGCCATCAGCACAGAGAGGCTGTTTTTTTGTTTTGTGCCTAGTCTCCTCCTGCAGGTGGCACTATAACCCTGTGGTTCCAGATGTTCGAACTTCACTGTGTCCTTCAATGAACACAGAGCAAAGGATTTTACGGGGAGTACAAAAGTCGTATGTTTTTTTCATTGAAGGACACAGCAAAGAAATCGAAGATATGGAACCACATGAATGTCACAAAGCCGTATAAAATGAGGGGTGGGCCCAAGAAAAACAGTCTCCCTAAAAAAACAGTCTAAAGATAAGACAGGAAACCACCAAAGGAAGCAGAGTAACGATTCCTAGGTCCTGACGCTAGGCAAAAAACTGGAGGCTGGCCAGCAGGTGGGGAGTTGGCCACACTAGGCTGTTTTTTTTTTGTTTTGTGCCTAGTGTCCTTCTCCTGCAGGTGGCCCTATAACCCTGTGGTTCCAGATCTTCGATCTATTTGCGATGTCCTTCAATGAACAGACAAATCTTATTTTTTTTCCCCCCCTTTTTACAGAAGAAAAATCTTGTTTTTCCCCCCTTTTTCCAGCTGTTGTTGCATCTCAGTGCTGCTGACTTCCTGCAGCCTCTTTGCGGACTTCCTGTCTACATGCACTCCAGTGACGGCTGCATGGCATTTGCTCAGGACATTTTCCAATGGCCCATGCCGGTGTAATGTGCGCAGCAACAACCACTTGTTGTCTCTATTAGAAGCCCATATGGCCGAATGACAACAGAGGAGCAGAAGTAGGAGATGCACGAAAGAGCGTTGTCACCTCATAACGAGGAGCTGTCTGAACAGGGACCTTCATGGCGGGATCAACAGTGATTACCTGAATGATTTAGACTGACATTTAGGTGCAGCTCCCCCCCCCCTCTGAAGTCTTACCTGACTATTTACATTCCCTAGAAGCTGCTGGAATCTCCGGTCATTCAGAAGCTCCTCGTGTTTCAAGTTTTCCCTCCTGGTGATCTGTTGGATGACCATGACACCTTTGTTCCCGTTGAGCTTTAGGTTACTGGCAATCTGTAGCAGTTCTTCCACCCCTTGCGCATTCTTCAGCACTGAGTAAAACTCTTCATCGTGCGTGCTGGGGCTCGGGGAGGCCTCCTGGGGGCTTTGCGAGGCCTCCGGGAGGCTCTCCGCCAGGTGACACAGGGAGGAGGTGTGCAGGGGCGCCTGGCAGGGGAAGGACGGGGCAAGCTGACCCAATCTCGTACATTCTGAGGGGATGGGGGGCTGGAAGGTGATTGGCACTGCCAGCAGACGGGACGCCCGCCGGATCAGACGGGCCGCCATCCTTTCTGCGATTGGCTGTTAGAAAGGCGAATCCAGAATAATTCTACAAAAAAAAAGAAAAAAATGTGAGGGCTCCTGTATGGGGTCTGCAGTCAGTTAGCATTGATTTTGCCAATAGTTAAAGGAGAACTGTGAGGTGAGTGCTTTTCACTCACCTCATAGTTCTAGCCGACCTGTGACAATGAGACGGTCACAGGTCGGCTCAGTAGATCGGGAAGTGAGCGAACACATACCGGTGTTCGCTCAATAGATCGGGGAGCGAACACTCGCTCGCTTCTCGATCATGTCCCTGCAGAGAGCCGTGACTGTCACTCACGGCTGCCTGCAGGGATTCCCACCGATCCACCAGCGCTGATTGGCAGAACGGACAGGGGAGGGGTCAGGTACAGCTGGCTCTGCCTCTAGATAGGCAGAGCCAGCTGTCACTCACGCAGCTGGGCGGATCCCGACGTCCAGGTCAGGATCCGCTCCGGCGTCTCAGTATACCGCTAGCTGTAGCTCCCTATTTACTGAGCTTAGGGTGACGGGAGGACGCTAGTTTGTGTCCTCCCGTTAGCCTGAGGAGAACTATGGGGAAAAGCCTTAACCCCATAGTTCTCCTTTAAAGGCCATCCCCGAGCAAAACTGTCTGGACTACAGAATCCCTCGACCCTCTACTATGGAGATCAGAGGGAGGTGTTCTGTACACCTGTCCCAGTGTGGAAATGCTGCTCCTCAGATAGTGGAGGGAGTGTTGTCACCCTAAGACAAGGAGTGTGTTACTGCCAGGATCACCAGGTGAAACTAAAGCAAAAATTAAAACTAATGCAGCCGCCACATCTAAGGACTGGTGAACTGCCATGTACTACATTTCCAGTCTTGGGTTTAGATAGAATGTAAACTCCCCAATAAGTAAATAATGTCCTTGTACAAGAGTCCCATGTGTTCTTCCTGAATGCTGGTGAGCTTTGTGTATTTCTTCCAGATTTGTGCAGTGATCCAGTGTGAGACTTGGAGCTTCCTGTAAAAAAGACCGCTCACTGCTGCTCTCTTTCCTTGTGCGGGGTGACTGGTCTAGTCTCCGCCCCCTCCTGTAATAAAGACCGGTAACTGCTGCTCTCTCTCCTTGTGCGGGGTAATTGGTCTTTTCTCCGCCCCCTCCTGTAGGTTTCTGCAGGTAGCCTATAGTGGGTGGGGCCAGATTGCCCCCTCCCACATCTCTGCTCAGGCTATGTACAGTGATGATGTCACTGCTTCTTTTACAAGGTAATATTTGGGTTTGTAATGGCATTTGGTGTGAACAAAATGGATTTACAGCCTACGTAGGTATTGAGGAATATATAAAAATCAAAAGGTTTTTACGCTATTTAAAGCGTTGATGAAATTACTTACACTGGAGTCTATTTCTTGATGTTTAAAAACTTTAGCCCAAAGCCGGCGTAGGGAAGACCGGACAGAGCTCTGTTGGTGATTTTTTTTTTAATCGTACTAACAGTTACATTTCCTGGAGAAGATTTCCAGGGTGTCCACCCCCCTTCTTCTAAGGTCCAAGCAGTGTTGATACAAAGTTTAACACTGTACCAGTAGTGCTTGGACCGAGAAGAAAGAAAATGATATCCCCAAAAGCTTGTCCTGAAAATGGAACCATTAGTTCAATTTTCGGCATTTGTTATGACCGGACCAGACTGCAGCCATTGATGTGCCTTGCGTTCCCATCACATTGCAGCCGGAGGGCGTGGCTACAGTGCCATTGAGTTCCATGCACCGCTACGCCCCCTCCCGCCCCACAACAAAGTGAGCCGGCCAGAGGTGGGGGGGGTGGGGTTGCTCCTACACATCTACGCTGACAGCAGGGGGGCTCCTACGGTCCTGTGCCGATGGTGGTTGGGGAGTGCTCTCATCCCTAGGCTGAGGGGGGGGGGGGGCTCCTACGGCCCCAGGCTGGGGGCAGGGGGCGAGAGGCTCCTACGGCCTTAGGCTGGGGGCAGGGGGCGAGAGGCTCCTACGGCCTTAGGCTGGGGGCAGGGGGCGAGAGGCTCCTACGGCCTTAGGCTGGGGGCAGGGGGCGAGAGGCTCCTACGGCCTTAGGCTGGGGGCAGGGGGCGAGAGGCTCCTACGGCCTTAGGCTGGGGGCAGGGGGCGAGAGGCTCCTACGGCCTTAGGCTGGGGGCAGGGGGCGAGAGGCTCCTACGGCCTTAGGCTGGGGGCAGGGGGCGAGAGGCTCCTACGGCCTTAGGCTGGGGGCAGGGGGCGAGAGGCTCCTACGGCCTTAGGCTGGGGGCAGGGGGCGAGAGGCTCCTACGGCCTTAGGCTGGGGGCAGGGGGCGAGAGGCTCCTACGGCCTTAGGCTGGGGGCAGGGGGCGAGAGGCTCCTACGGCCTTAGGCTGGGGGCAGGGGGCGAGAGGCTCCTACGGCCTTAGGCTGGGGGCAGGGGGCGAGAGGCTCCTACGGCCTTAGGCTGGGGGCAGGGGGCGAGAGGCTCCTACGGCCTTAGGCTGGGGGCAGGGGGCGAGAGGCTCCTACGGCCTTAGGCTGGGGGCAGGGGGCGAGAGGCTCCTACGGCCTTAGGCTGGGGGCAGGGGGCGAGAGGCTCCTACGGCCTTAGGCTGGGGGCAGGGGGCGAGAGGCTCCTACGGCCTTAGGCTGGGGGCAGGGGGCGAGAGGCTCCTACGGCCTTAGGCTGGGGGCAGGGGGCGAGAGGCTCCTACGGCCTTAGGCTGGGGGCAGGGGGCGAGAGGCTCCTACGGCCTTAGGCTGGGGGCAGGGGGCGAGAGGCTCCTACGGCCTTAGGCTGGGGGCAGGGGGCGAGAGGCTCCTACGGCCTTAGGCTGGGGGCAGGGGGCGAGAGGCTCCTACGGCCTTAGGCTGGGGGCAGGGGGCGAGAGGCTCCTACGGCCTTAGGCTGGGGGCAGGGGGCGAGAGGCTCCTACGGCCTTAGGCTGGGGGCAGGGGGCGAGAGGCTCCTACGGCCTTAGGCTGGGGGCAGGGGGCGAGAGGCTCCTACGGCCTTAGGCTGGGGGCAGGGGGCGAGAGGCTCCTACGGCCTTAGGCTGGGGGCAGGGGGCGAGAGGCTCCTACGGCCTTAGGCTGGGGGCAGGGGGCGAGAGGCTCCTACGGCCCTAGGCTGAGGGCAGGGGACGAGAGGCTCCTACTGTCCTACGCTGGTGTTGACCTCAAATTTGGGACCCCAAAGGCACTATGAAGGCCTTACTCTTTACTGGGGTCCCGGCGTCACTGTACTGTATACAATGGTGCTTATACATTTGAAGGGCCCCAACACGTACCATTAAAAAACAGTAGAATGTGGCCCCTAACTACTCCATGATCTGGGGCCCCAGATATATCGAACTGCATGTAGTAGTGACCTCAGATATTTAATGTGGCCCTCTGAAGCACTCTCAGGGGGTCCCTATGAGGGATGTCCTTCTGGTAGCTCCAGGGACAGGCCGGCTCGGCACACGTGGGCCCTACATAGGAGTAATCGTACTGGGGGGACATCTCAGGCTCATCTAGAGTTCATGCAACTCATACAAAGGTCCTGGTAATAAAGAGCACCGGGCCCGGGTCCCTCCATCCCCTCCCCCAGGCTCCGCTTACCGTCCGCCGCAAATGCAGCCAGCTTCACCCTCTGACCTCCACAGCATGAGGAACTAAGGACGCCGCATACATACATCACTTCCGCTACACAGTAGAGCCCACACACTGAATGTCTGCGACCGCCGACCTCAGGAAAAAGACTTCCGGTCCCTGGAAATATGGCTGACTTAAGCTATTGTGTTGTTTGGTCCTCGCAAATATGGCCGCCGTAGGCCGTTTTGGTGCAGAAAAAAAGGAGCGAGGTTAGACTAGCGTTGGAGATTTTGACGGGTTGGCCATTTCGATAGAACACCGTCATGTTAGGAAAGGACCGAGGTGAGAAATAGAAGAACGGAGTCGCTATGTGGGTGAGGGTAGAGGAGAGAGAGAGAGAAAGTGGAGAACGGGGGCGCCATGTTGGGTGAGGTCAAAGGAGGAGAACGGAGGCACCATGTTGGGTGAGGGCAGAGTAGGCCGCGCCATATTCGGTGAGGTAAAAGGAGAACGGGGGCGCCATTTTGTTTGAGGGGAAAAAGAGAAATGAGCCCCCTGTTGGATAAGGAAAGAAAAATGGGGTTACCATGTCTCACCTTCGGTATGAAATACGTATTAAAGGGGCACATTCAAATAATTTCTCTGCTATTCCAATTCCATCCCAGAGCATATTAGTGGCAAATGTTACCAGAAACAGACCGCCGTGCGCAAAGGTGTCACTACCTGACATGTATAAGTGCACATACATGAGTGGGAAATATCAACGTCTTCTAGTTTGGGGGGGTTGGAACCGTGTCGGGTTTATACATAGGGTTGCCACCTTTTTTTCACGTCAAACCAAAATACTGTAGCACCTCGCGGCAATTTTTGGGTAAAGTATAGCGGCAACGACGGCAAGCTCCCATTGGCGGTTCACTGTAAACATACGGCTTTTTTTCTGCTCGGGGTGAAAAAAACTGTGAGATGCAATCAGCCGTTACCAGCTGTTACACATAGAAGCGATTGGTGGCTCTATAGCCGTCCGATCGCTTGTACATGCTGGCCTGCGCGCCCTCCTGCACACTCAGCTTCAATCCCGGGATCCGCTGCCCCCTCTGCAGCCGTGGATCAGCTCGGGAGGGTGTCAGGAGGAAGATGGGCGGGAGATCAGCATCTTCCTCCTTGCTGAACTCCCTTCGACGTCTGAATCTGTAAGCGATATGTATTACATCACTTCCGCATTCACCTGTCATTCCTGATTGGCTTCCTGATTAGTCAAGAATCCAAGCGAAGCCAGCTTCCTAGCCAACCAGGAAACCGGGCGGCACCTCAAAAACCGGGTGGCCCACAAAAGATGCCACTGTTTGCCCCCCCCCCCCCCCCCCCTTCAATTGATATTAATTTTGATGAAATGTTTTAAATACCTTCTTATAAGTCCAGGTGAGAAGAAGGACAGTCACAGTCAGACTCCCAGCCCTGGACGAGACAAAACCGCACCACGTGCAGGCTCTGATGTCACTTCCTCTCACTCACAGAGGAGAAAAACAGGGAGAGGGAGGGAAGACAGCGCTGCCCGCCACTCACTGCCCGCTGCTCACCGACCTGCCGCCAGGTGAGCGAGTCTGCGGCTTCGTCCAGTTTGAATCTTGTGCCTGCTTTAGGAGGTCTTGTGATGAGCGGAGGGGGCGGTTAGGGTGATACTTAGAGACGAGGTTGGAGATATAGCCGGGGGCGGAGTTGTGGATGGCTTTGTACGCGGTTGTTAATATTTTGAATTTTATCCTTTTGGGCTATAGGAAGCCAGTGCAGGGATTGACAGAGGGAAGATGGGCGGCAACCCTATTTATACGGCTCTCAGGGGCTCAGTTAGAGAGATTTCCCCTCATTTCCTGTCTGTACGAACTGTTGTCAGCAGGACAGGAAGTGAGAGGATATTTTTTTAACACAGTTAACAATCGGCTTCAGCTTCCCATCCAAACTAGAGGGGGAAAAAAAGTGTTTTTGTTTTGCTGGACGTACACTTGAAGCAAATCATTTATTGGTGAGTTGCAGATCTCATCAGCAGCCCAACGGCCAGCCGACGGAGCCCGCAAATGAGGCTGACAACGCTGCTGCTAATTGAGAGGTGCCAACCTTGGACAGGAAGTGCTGTCACTGGCGGGATCTCCGGGAGGAATATTGCAACAAAGTTACAAAAAATGATTTCCTTAAAGAGACACGGTTCATTTTTGTATTTAAATGCATTCCTATTTAACCCTAATCAGCCCTAATTACCTCCTTCCTCCCCCTTTCCACTTGGATTTTTTTTGTTGCTGATTTATTTTACATCAATTATTTTTTAGTTCATTTTTATAACTTTTTTTTAATTTGTAAATTTTTTTCACTGTCACCGAAATAAGAAAAATTTAAACTGAACCAAAGCCTTTTTATTATTTGCAAATAACTTCACCAAGTCTGTTGCAGGTAGGAGGGAGCATTTCCTCAGTCTCCCCTCTCCCAATGATCAGACTTCTGCAGGTAGGAGGGAGCATTTCTTCAGTCTCCCATCCCCCAATGATCAGACTGCTGCAGGCAGGAGGAAGCATTTCTTCAGTCTCCCATCCCCAGTGATCAGTCTGCTGCAGGCAGGAGGAAGCATTTTCTCAGTCTCCCATCCCCCAATGATCAGACTGCTGCAGGCAGGAGGAAGCATTTCTTCAGTCTCCCATCCCCAGTGATCAGTCTGCTGCAGGCAGGAGGAAGCATTTTCTCAGTCTCTCCTCCCCCAGTGATCAGACTGCTGCAGGCAGGAGGAAGCATTTCCACAGTCTCTCAGTCTCTCCCCCTGTCATCAGTCTGTACATTGTGACTTTCGGGTTGATCTGTGTCAGGTTCCTTGATTCAGTTTTGGTATCTTATCATTTCTGTGACATTCGCAGTTTGGTGCTGCGGAGGAACGTCAATGCCGGTGCAGAGGAATGGCTCCTTATATCAGGTTGGCTACCCTGGGGGCGAGCTGGCGGCACAATTAGCAACCTCTGAGAACACAATAATTACCTCCAATGTAACACAAAGGAGAGATTATAACCTGTACAAGGTGAACCGAGGAGGAGGCCAGAGGAGTGCAACTGAGAGAACGTAATAATTACCGGGGCTGGCTCAGTGTTCTCTGTACAGCGCTGCGGTATATGTCAGAGCTATATACATGTATAATAGTGTGTGACTGTGGGGGGGGGGACATTAGAGTGTAAGCTCCTCTGTACAGAGACTGATCTGACTGTGGGGGGAGGGGACATTAGAGTGTAAGCTCCTCTGTACAGAGACTGATGTGACTGTGGGGGGAGGGGGAGGGGACATTAGAGTGTAAGCTCCTCTGTACAGAGACTGATGTGACTGGCTCAGTGTTCTCTGTACAGCGCTGCGGTATATGTCATAGCTACAGTATATTAAAGGGCCTTAGAGGTGAGTGGGGGGAGTAGCACAGGTCGCTGTAGGTGACCAGTGATGATTGATGGCAGACAGAAGCTTTGATGTGCAGGTGACGATGCTACAGAGACACCAGTAAACAGACGGGTCATTAGCAGTGGGACGGTCAGGAAGTGTGTATCCTCAGGACTGGGCGAGAGCCGGGACTCCGGACAGTCGGGCCAGTGACAGTGGACAAAGCATGTTACCTGCAGACTCAGGGATCCCGTCCTGCAGACCACGCAAGGTGAGTCTCTGTCTGCTGTATGTCTGCCAAGAGGGTCCGGAGAGACGAGCTTTTCCCTCCATCTGTTCACTGCTGGTGCAGAGACTGCTATGACTGGCTCAGTGTTCTCTGTATAACGCTGCGGTATATGTCAGAGCTATATAGATATATAATAGTGTGTGACTGTGGGGGGACATTAGAGTGTAAGCTCCTCTGTGCAGAGACAGATGTGACTGTGGGGGGACATTAGAGTGTAAGCTCCTCTGTACAGAGACAGATGTGACTGTGGGGGGACATTAGAGTGTAAGCTCCTCTGTACAGAGACTGATGTGACTGTGGGGGGACATTATAGTGTAAGCTCCTCTGTACAGAGACTGATGTGACTGTGGGGGGGGGGCATTAGAGTGTAAGCTCCTTTGTACAGAGACTGATGTGTAGTTTTGCTACAGTTTGGTATTTGCAGAATAGAAAATAAATCGAAACAACTGGACTCGCTGTATTTTTCTTGAAGATGTTTTGCTGGTCATCCGACCGGCTTTCTCAGTTCAGAATTACTTTTACAAAAATTCTCTGGAAATAAATATGGTGAATGTTGCTCCAATCAAAGTAATCTGTGTATCATAACCAGCATGGTGTCAGAGACTTCATGGAGGAGGTCCGGTTTAAAAAGAGGTGTAAAAGAGGCCATTTATGTTAAAATGAGGAAGACAAGAGGTGGGGTGGGGCATCTGTTGCCTTCTACATACAATGCTGTTGTATCATCTCTCTCTGGGCGTCTTAATAACACCTGCTAGCTCCAATCATGCAAATGCAAAAAAACACCTGACCTCCATTAGGTCTCTGACCCCACGCTGATTATGATAAACAGATTCTGTGGATTGGAGCAACGTTCATCATATTTCTTCCCAGAATCTTTGTACAAGTCATTCTGAATGACTTGTAGAAGAATCTTAATGAATTCTAATGAGGGATAACAGGCCAAACTGTACAAGAGACAAAGACTTTCACAAAAGCTTTATTGTAAAACAGACAAAGCTTACACTGCAAAACGCAGTAATAATAACGCTGCGCATCAAATGCCAGAACATTTTTTATTCGGACACAATAGTCTGAAATTGTAAGACACAAAACATAGGCTGGTGTTTTCCTTTAAGGATTGTAAAAAGTGGTTAGTGGCAGGACAGTTTTGGTTGAGAATTGGCTGAAATGTACTAGAGATACAGGAACGTGTTTCCCTTCCATATTGGGTGGATCAAATCAAAGTGTATATAGCTTAGCTGCGTAAAAAATTGCCCAGCGGCAAGATAGTTTTAATGAGCAAATCCAGGCCATAATGCACTGGAGACACAGCTCACAGGAAAGTGTTTGTATTCTAAAATAATAGGAGACCACAGATGGCAAAGCAGTGTAAGAACTGGCCAGCAGCAGGACAGTTTATTGAGCAAGACTAGGCCAAAATGTAGAGAAGAAGTGGCCAGCAGCAGGACAGTTTTTTGAACAAGACTAGGCCAACATGTAGAGAAGAAGTTGCCAGCAGCAGGACAGTTGATTAAGCAAGACTAGGCCAACATGTAGAGAAGAAGTTGCCAGCAGCAGGACAGTTGATTAAGCAAGACTAGGCCAACATGTAGAGAAGAAGTTGCCAGCAGCAGGACAGTTGATTAAGCAAGACTAGGCCAACATGTAGAGAAGAAGTTGCCAGCAGCAGGACAGTTGATTAAGCAAGACTAGGCCAACATGTAGAGAAGAAGTTGCCAGCAGCAGGACAGTTTATTGAGCAAGACTAGGCCAAAATGTAGAGAGGAAGTGGCCAGCAGCAGGACAGATTATTGAGCAAGACTAGGCCAAAATGTAGAGAACAAAAGAGAACAGAGCGCCCCCTGCGTGTGTAAAAGCGTTTATTAGGATAAATAAAACAAGGGATAAGTGTAGTCACAAAAAACGTTTTTATCACGCTTGATCAACAAACGAGAGGCCACACTGTCTGTTAACCCAACATGGTATCACCCCGACTATGTAACACGGTAGCTTCCGGTCACATCACCATCCACCGGCCGCAGTCAGCCAAGATTGACGCTTTTCTGGGGCAAGACCCCTTCATCAGAATCATAGCTTGCTATAAACATGAGAACGAGTGTTGGTGACGATTCCAGTATGTATGGATTATCCTTTTCCACTCAATACAATAAAGCTGCTTTTCAGATCCAAAAAAACCCCTGAAGAAACACTGGGGGGTCCTGGTAGAAAAATTCCCTACCTGCATATCCAAATGTTGTCTATCGGAGACCAAAGATACTTAAAAACATACTGGCTCCAAGTAAAATAGACATGCGTTCTCATGATAAAATGGGGAAAGGTATCTTTGGTCAAACAGGGAACTACAAATGTCATGTTTTTAATTGTGGCCAGGGCAGCCATCAGAAATTTTGGGGCCCCTTACATGGCTTTAGGCCTCCCCCACCCGCCGCTGGATGCAGGGCTTAGTGACGCGCTGGACGCAGGGCTTAGTGACGCGCTGGACACAGGACCCACCTGACAGTGACCCTGCAGAGCCCACCATAGATGCTGCACAGCCCATCTCCGACTGTCTATGGTGGGCTCCACGAGATGATGAAAGGTGATGCGAGGAATCTGACACGGCACTGTTCCAGTTGGCCTTGCCTGGTGACATTCTTATTGGTGAAAAGATTGTCTTTTTTTTTTTGTGTTTTCAATTTTATTTTTATTTATTTTTCATTTGTTTGTGGCGGTGCAATCACCAATGTAGCATATAATCAACTTTGTTGTTCACTTTTTATTCCATTTTCTTTGAGGCCTTGTTCACACCAAATGCAGAGCAGATCCGCTCAGGTTTCTGCACACGCAGTGCAGTGGGTTTTGCCGCGTTTTTGATGCGTTCCGGGCCGTTTCCGGGCTTTTAGTGCATTCCAGGCATTTGCATGCGTTTGCAGATGCGTTTGCAGATCCAGAGCAGGTAAAATAGGGGCTGTTGCAGTTTTTTCACCTGCTCTCTGCTCTGGACCTGCTCTGGAACTGCACGCTGCGATGTGAACTGGAGCAAAAAATACCATAGGAATACATCGGACGCAGTTTTGATCCGGTCTGCAACTGATCTGCTCTGCACCTGCTCCGCGCTTGGTGTGAACAAGGCCTGAGAGATGTGGGTAGATTGGATGCATATTGCCGAGTAATAAGCAGTGCTAAATCTGAAGCACTGCTTATCGCCCCATGCTTTTGAAATCTCCACATGAATTGAAGGTCGGGCTGATCCATCAATTAGCCAGAGGCTGTGTGATCATTGGGCGGCATATATGGCCGTATAATAGCAAAACCTTTCTAATGCTGCGGTAGAGCTAATCACTCCAATCACTCCAAGACATATATATATATTTTTATGGATGATTATATTTATATTTATATCTTTATTATGGATATGGTTTAGAATGAATAACAGAGTTTTTAATGTTTTAATCTCCCACTTTATATGTGGATATGCATCCACCAACAATATATTCTTTTAGTAGTAACATGATCATTTCTGGTTCTAAAAGGCCTCCCTAAAGGCTATCACATGTTGTATTGGACAGCCTTATGCAGGGACATTTTATTGGTTTTAAAAAGTTTTGTTACAATTTATATATAAATTATTTTTATTTTCAATTTTGTATTCAATTTATCTATGATGGTGCAATCACCAATGTAACATGTATTATGAACTATATTGATCACTTCTCATTCCATTTTCCTTGAGAGATGTGGGTAGATTGGATGCATATTGCCGAGTAAAGGTGCCCACACATCTTGCGGTAATCGTACGATCGTACAATTATCGCAAGGTGTGTGGAAGGCGTGCGACCGTTTCTACTGTACGGTCGCACGACTTTCGAGCATGTTCGAAAACCAGCCGAGAATCGTACGATGTTGGGCGCGTGTGTAGCATGTTCGTATGATAAAAGCCGCACAGGCCGGTGTGCGTAAGCGCACACTGCCCATTCAGCATTCCGATCATTGGAAGCCCGCCCCTCAGCGGGGAGGGCTTGCGATGATCGCAAGTACGATCTGCCTGTCCAAGATAGGCAGATGGTACGTTTTTTTAATTACCTTACAACCATCGCAAGACAAAAGTCTTGCGATGGTTGTAAGGTCTGTGGCCAGCTTAATAAGCAGTTCTAAGTTTGAAGTACTGCTTAGCTCATAATATAAGATCGCCCCGTACATTTGAAATTTCCACAGGAATTGAATGTCGGGCTGATTTATTAATTTGCCAGATGCTGTGTGATGATTGGGCGGCATATACGGCCGTATAATAGCAAATCCCTTGCAATGCTGCAGTAGAGCCAATCACTGCAAGACTAGTCATAATGGAGAATTTTTTCTCTGATTGGTCGGTTTCCAGTCTTATACCCCACTCTCAGGGAAAGCAAGCTATGATTCTGATGAAGGGGGCTTGCCCCAGAAACGCGTCAATGTTGGCTGACTGCGGCCGGTGGATGGTGATGTGACCGGAGGCTACCGTGTTACATAGTCTGGGCGATACCATGTTGGGTTAACAGACAGTGTGGCCTCTCGTTTGTTGTTAAAGCCTGATGAAAACAAACGTTTGCTTGTGAGTAGACTTATCCCTTGTTTTATTTATCCTAATAAACGCTTTTACACACGGAGGTGGCGCTCTGTTCCCTTTTGTTTTCTATGTTCGCGGTGGAAGCCCCGGAGCCTTGGATGAGCAGCCCCTCAAGTCTGTGTGAAAAACTGTGACAAACTGTTGATAACTTTGAGTATGCAACAGCAAGTGGATCGTTCAGCTGGCAGCCATTAGCGCCAAGAGTTAAAGAAAACTTTTTGCAAAATGTAAAGAAGAAGTGGCCAGCAGCATGACAGTTGATTGAGCAAGACTAGGCCAAAATGTAGAGAAGTGGCCAGCAGCAGGACAGTTTATTGAGCAAGGTTAGGCCAAAATGTAGAGAAGCACTGGCCAGCAGCAGGACAGTTTATTGAGCAAGGCTAGGCCCAAGACTAGGCCA